TTGTTTTCTTCAAAAACCTGAAAAATAAAATAAATCCAATTAAAATTAAATCCTCTAAATTTAGGAATATTTGAAATTAAAATCACAAAATTGATAAAATAGTTTGACAATTATGAACATTAAAAGTGCAAATTCGTGCACTTATCACCGCCCATCATGCAGGCTTACTCATAGTGTTATGACTGATGGCCACCCATAAAAAAAGTACTATGACTGGCACACTAAGAGTCTGACAATTGTGCGGTCACATTACTATGACCTAGGGTCATAATACTATGACCGCAAGGCAGTCGTACTATGAGACCGACAATTGTGCGGTCACATTACTATGACCGAGGGTCATAATTTTATGACCGCAAGGCAGCCACACTATGAGCCTGACAATTGTGTGGTCACATTACTATGACCGATGGTCATAATGCTATGACCGCAGGCTCATCAGTCAACAATCGCACTATGCGCCTGCCTGCCTAATGGGCGGTCATAGTAATTATGACCGTCAGTTATATTACTATGACTGCACGATTTGCATGTCTTATAACCGATCATAATAAAATTACCAAGCAGTCATAATGATATGACCGACCATCAAACAGAGTCACAGACCAAATAAGGAGCACAATGAGAATCCAATGACTCCTAATAATTTCAAATAACTGAACTTATCTGCTTTTATCTCCTTCTCCAAAGCCTTTCTTTTCTTCTAAGATGACAGAAAATGGTAAAAGAAAAAAACAATAAATACGTAAGAAAAAAAGAACAAATAAACAAGAAAAGCCAACAAAGTTTTCACCGTTGTCTCGAAATCTGCTATTGACCTCGTCTCTTTCATGGCTGATTTCTCTGGTAAAGAGGGGGAGGTTTCCTCAGTTCGTTCTTCTCCAATGAAGAGGTTTAGGCGTTGATTTCTCCGGTGAAGGTTCGTCAGTTCTCGTTGCGTGATTGCGTGGGTTCTCGCTGTCGTGGGTTTTCGTTGTCATGGGTTCGTCGGTGCTCAAGGTGGTAGACGATGGTAGACGGGATGGTGGTAGACGATGGTGGTTGTTAGGGTTTCTTGGTCTCTGTGCACACCCGTATTCATTCTCGTCCTCCTCTCTCTACTTTGAATATTTGAATTATAAAAGCCTTCATAATATATATATTCAAGGCTTTAAAACTGAAATGGGGCACAACTATCATTTTAACTCAAGTAAAAATGGCATGGTCCCACTTTTGTTGACATGGCGATGCTAATTGTGAAAGTATACAAAAGTGGTGCTAAAATTAATAATCATTTATTTATGAGTGCTATTATTGAAATTAACCCTATTAAAATATCCCGAATTATGTATTATGAGTCACTTTTCTGGAGGAATATTTTGTTAGCCATTCATAGTTTGAGAGAGCAAGTGTTACATGTTAAAAATTAGGGATAAAATGTTTTAGAGAGAATTTTGTAGTCAATATAAATATTTTTATTATGGAAACTATATATATTTTTTAATTCCAATGGGGAAATTGCCTCTTTGCTCACATGGGCCACACATGTGGGTCCTATGTGGGGCTGTGAGAGACGGGACTATTATCCCATTAAGATGTATAAAAGTAATCTCTTCTAATTAGGATGGAAATTGTGTAGGGACCTATGTTGGGTGGTAGGTCTTACATTTTTTTAGGTCTACACCTACCTTAATTTTATAAGTGACGTGTCATAGTTTTTATTTAAGGAGAAATTAATTAAATATTTTAATAAACCTCTTAGTTGGAAAATACAAAATTTGAGTGGATGGGTTGTCATGCTATTTTCTTAATATGAAAGCATTTGTCACCATCAATTAAATTGCAAAATTTAAGAAGATCAAAAACTAACCTTTTAACTAGTGAAAAGTCCTTAAAAACTAATAAATAGAGAGTGGAAAGTGATATTAAGAATGGATTATGCTAAAAAAATCTCCAATCGTTTGGTATCAAGATTCAAACTAAGATAATTATAATCATGATTCTGAAACCATAACCATAATTTA